AAAAAATGATGTTTTTCATACACTTAAATGCAGTTTTTCTTTCCAAAGGGACAAAACTACCTTTACATTTTATCTTATATCACAATTTTGCATTTTTCCAATGAATAAATGTCTAATTATTTAGATAAACAAATGTATCTCCTTCAAACATTTATAGCTCTCTTTATTCTCCTGAAAACAAATATCAAGCCAAAAAGAATCAGAAATCCTTGTTATTTGCAATGAAAAACTCAAATTTCAAACTAAGGTCAGCACTCTGCTTAATGGAAATGGGAAACTGGTAAACAAAAATAGGATGTAAAGGGATCAGGGAGCAAGTAATTGCTTTAGACAATAAGTTTCTGATACCCAGTGATATCTTTCCTGGTCATGTAGTTAGCAGCGTTCTCTAAGTATTGAACCCTGCTTATTTCCAAAAATAATTACAATTTCTATTTGAGGTGAACCTAAACTATTACTAAGTGTTATTACCACCCTGGCTCAGTTTTCTTCATCCACAATACGGAAGTAATAAAGACTTGATTAAATATATCCCCTGTTGAGAAAGCAAATACAAAAACATAAATGTAGCACTGACCTTTTATTTTGCTCTCACCCCAATTAATAACTTCATGGAAGAAATATCGTGGAGAAGTTGCTTCAAACTTTGAAAGAAAGAAAGAAGAATTCAAGAGAGTTGGATTATTTAATTCAATCCAAACAAACACACAAATTAGAAAGTCTGAAAACTAACTACAAATATAGAAATTATGAAGTACTGACTTTCTGTTTCCTTTGGTTAGCGAAGCAATCTCAGTGAGGCAAAACAGGCTCCTCAGGGGTTGTGGGTTTGCCTCATACATGACTTTGACATGTTCTTTATTCTCTCTGACCTCAGTTCTTCTGCCTTCCTATCCTCCTTGGAAAAGAGCCTGACTAGAGTCTAATTTTTGCATTAACTGACTGCTCTGCTTGCAGATGAGTCTGGTGAAAATGCATGGGGCCAATGAACCAACAATGATATCCCCCCTGCCTGCAGACCTATCTGTGAAGATACCATCCACAGAAGTTTCTGCTGCTGCAGTGTGAGGATCACCCTCACTCTCCAAAGAATTGACACTTAAAAGTTCATAGAACATTTCAATATATTTTTTATCGACCACAAGGCACTTTAGGGTAGTAGTTACAAACCTGAATTAGAGAATCAGACAGCCCTGGACTAGAGTCCTGTTTCTGCCATTACTCACTCTTAGGCAAGTTTCTTAAACTCTTAGCATCTCATTTGACTTATCTGTAAAATGGGAACAATGGTACCTACTTCGTTGTGTAGTTATAACTATAAATAAAACAATGTATGTAAAGATTTCTGCATACTGCCTCACACAGAGAAAGTTAGCAAGAAATTTATATCAATCTAAGCAACCCAGATAAAACCTTAAGACCTTTAGAGGTCAATATGGATAAGTAGCAAATAATTGTGGATTACTAAAACTAATCAATTACGGATGTGTATTCCAACTCAATGCCAATTATGTGCATGGTCTGGGGCAATGTCTTTTCCAATAGCATTTTTACATTCACCCAATATTTGCCAAATAATTGTCAAATAGAGCACCAGAGGATGTTAGAAAAACTGGAAAGGGTGAAGGATAAGAAGAGAGGGGGATAGGGAATGTGACTTCAAGTATGATGTCCTTTCTCAACATGTTCTGGTCTCCTTGCTACATGTAAAATTTTATTTTGGCATTTTCCAACAAAGTACTTTTTCTTTTAACAGTCAAACCAGCCCCATGCAGATAAAAGAACTCCCACACTTACCAATTTAAGACTCCTTTCTAACTCCTTGGCCCATACCATGGTTCCAAGTTCATTGATTCTTGCTTTCATTCCTCCTGGGTTTTATCATCACTGTCTAATCTCCCCTTTTTGCCCTTACCTCTCTTTTCAAACTAAGTCCGATTCATAATAACCTGTGACCTTGATTCCCCCAAGACATCAAGTTTTATTCTCTCTTCCGCCGTATTGCTTCTACCTGCCTAAATCTAACACAGCCACCAATATTACTGGGAACCAAGATCTTCTTACTTTGGCTCCAATGAATCATCTCTGACCCTCACTAAAAGTGCACAATGACTTCACCTCTGCCTCATACCAGCTCATAACCTTGAACAAACTACTCAGTCTGCTCAGCCTCAGTTTTTCAAAAGATTCTCTTGCTGCCCTTCTCCACATCCTCTGAGACCTCTTCGGACTTCACCTGCTTCTGGGTATCTGTGCACATTGTGACCCTCCCAAATTCAAACACTGGCTTCTTCTTATCTCTGCCTGAGGGCAGCATTCAAGCAGGGCAGAACACAGAAAGTGCCTTCCAGGGGATTTAAGGTCACCCTCCACCAAGGAGAGACAGGAGTTGGTAAATGAGCACCCCAGCTTCCCGCATCCCTTGGAGAAACAATTCTCCAGCACATTCTACACAGCTCCTCAGAGGGACCCCAGCAAAATTAAGCCCCAGATTTCAAAGGAGCAAACTCTTCATTAACACAGCTGTTATATATTGGACTTTCTCCCTCCCCAGTCTCACATTTCCCTCTCCCTCACTGCACATCCCAAATAAATTACCTGCATCTAAGTCTATGTCTCAGCCTTTGCTTTCAGGACAAGAATTTTGAAAGGTAATGCAAATGCAAAAAAAAAAAAAAAATTCCAAGCAGTGGGTGCATCTATTCACGTAAGTGACAAAAAAAAAAACAAAAAACCAGCCCATTCTTCTCCTTGCTGATTACATCTCCACAGGAGGGTGAGAAGCACCGAGAAATGTAGTCTGTAGATGAGAGATCCCTGCAGCGAACAAATACGCCATTGAGAGAAGCCTGTGTCTACCCTTTCTTTGCTCATTGTTCATCTCATTGCTCACATATTTCTGAATCCTTACTTACACAGATATCTACCCATCAGGGTTCTGTCTTCCTGGAGCAGGGGAGTGAATCTGTGGACAAGAATGGCCTTAGCACATGAAATTTCAACCCTAAACAATGATTCTGACCTCATTGCCCTGCTTTCACATTTCTTCTTCGAAAATTTCTTCAAATATTAAATCATTCTGATGCATGTTCTCTAGCGATAGGAAATAAAAGGGAAAGTGTCCTGCTCTTCATTTTCTCTAAAAGGAAAACCAAGACAAGGTGGGTGCGGTGCGTTCCTCACTTCTTAACAAAAGGGGGGTCGTCACGTGACGCCTTTGCAGTAAATTATACAAATTCCTAAAGTCATCTAAATGGACAACAGTATAACCCTATCAATGGGTCATTTTATGTGATAACCTTAGGATATATCTCACAGGCTCATCAATCTACTGGGCTCACCAGAATGCAGCTTTTCTCAAATTCGGATTTTCAGTTGAGTCGCGCTGATGTTGTTTTGCAGTTAATATGGTCTACTGGCAAACGTACTTAAAATTTCTCAGAGAAAAATCATTTAACCACTTCACGTGATATGTAAGTACTTAAATACACAAAACTCTTTTTAAGAAAAAAGAATTTCCATTCCATAAATAATCCTTTACCCATTCTAGTACAAAAATGACCTACACTCTTAGTTCTGCCTTCTAAATTGTCACAACAGAGTATCAAATCTGTCTTCAATCCTCTTTTAATTAACACCAAAAAACATAAAAATTTAGGTATTTACCAGAAAATGCTAGCAGAAATTGATTGCATTTCAGCATTTGACAAAGGCCTCCTTAAATATATAAGCTATTTACTATATAAATACTCAAATTATATACTTTCCAAAAAAAATGTCTTTAAGTTAGGATTCTCTATTTTACCATCTATATTTTATAGAGAAATGCTTTTTAAAACTCACTCATTTGAACAGTCCAACCATAGTTTAAAGATATTGCAATTATCTTATCCAATATCCTTTAAATAAAGGGATCTAGGCAGTGAAAAGAACTCCTCAAGTTCAGTGCTACCTGGCTCATCCAAAAAAAAAAAAAAAAGGTTACCTCTCCAGAAGTGCCTGTAATTTAGATTTATCAAACAATATGAAAGCTGTTTGTCAGGACACCAGGGAATCTCTGATGCCCTTTTGCAGTGTTTAACAGATCGTTTACACCTTTCTCTGTCCTGTGTGGTTGTATTTGTTCTATTGTCACTGTCCTAACTGCTATTGTGCTTAATATTTAAACCCACTAAAATTTTCTGGCAAGTACATGAGATTAAATCTCCCACCAATGCTGTGAGCCTATCAGTAGGAAACCGAGGTGAATAGCAAAAAAAAGCATTTGACCATAAACAAATAAATGTGAACTGAGAATGAATTTGAGGGTCTCAGAAAAGCAGTAGAGAAGTTACTTGGCCGCTTCCTCCTCCTTCCTGTCTTGTTTTTACCATTTCATTCCCCATCCACAAAGGTCTCATTGTTGAAGTGACAGCAGAGTCCTGAAACAGAATGGATTATTTCTCTCCATCTCTCTCCATCTGAGGCATAACCTACCTGTGCTGCTAAAAGAGCTCTTTTCTGTCGATTTTCATTAAACCCGTTTCTGGAAGAAAACAAAAAGAACTTGTATAGTCAAAGGCCCAAGGCAACCTGAACAAGCCTTTCCCAAGAGAGAGCTGGTGTTTTCCTCCTGATTTCCATCACTTTATCAAAGAGGTCTTTCTTGGTTTAACATTTAAAAGGTCCCCCTCCCCCGTTTGGAGGGGTTAGATTTGGGTGGTGGAGCTTTCTCATTTTACAAAATTCAGAAGTGTCCCCAAATCTCTCCAGTCTCTGATATAAACTGAATTTTAGGAAGGAACTTCAAGATAGAGAAATAAACAAACTAGTGTAACATTGTAGCACCAATACTCATTATATTATTCTCCACATGGCTTCATAAAACTGGTGAGATAAGTATTTGACAAGGGTACATTCATTCTCTTCAAACATATTCAATTCATTCCTTTTCCATGTTATAAAGGGAAGATCAGCATTAATGTGAGTAAGCACATCGTACTGTGATTTCTCAGGATCAAATGATGAATAGAATTCTGTTTTTCATTAAGCAGAACAGTTTAGTCCAAAAAGTGTTTTTCATTATTTACTGCTAGAGCAATTGTATTCTTTTTATCATTATAAAATGCTTTACTCTATGTTAAGATGCAGTACATTTGTAATCAGCAATCTACTTTGATAATAACAATAAAAAAGGGGAAATTACTGAGTATAACTTCTTTATAAACCTTCGAAGTCCCAGTAATTTCCCCTTAGTATATACAGTCTTGGGACACCACCAAGAACTCCCCACAAATTTATAATAAAAGGAAATATTTTTGTTTCATAAATATGACCTGAATGCCTGATAATTTTTAATTTGTGGAAATATTTTAAAGAACTACATATTATGCTCTTATTTTGTAAAATATTTCATTTATTTTTTTATAAACAGATATAGTTATCTGCTGAAATTTACTCATTCTTGTTAACTTTATGTTTCAGAGGACACAAAGAACAGGCAATACTCACTTTGATGTTTCTGTCAAGATGGATGGTGCACAAATATATCCTACCAGAGATAAACATATATAAGAATTTTAAAAATTATACAAATATCTTGGTCACATATTCTGATTATTAAACAGATCATTTTAACCTAAATTCTAAAACTTGGACTGAGTTTTCCTGTTAGTGATGTTGCATCTTCTAAAGGATTTTGACCAGCAAATTCCCTGTGAGACATCAGTGACCAGTAATCCAGAAAGAAGGAGCAGTGTGCCTAAATTTACACAGAGACATGATACAGTAGAATGAGCACTAGACTTGGAGTCAGAGATCCAAGTTTCACTCTTGGTCCTACCCTTAGTAAATGCCAAGCCTAAGTAAGCTACTATACACTTCACAAAATAATGGTGGTCATCTCCAAAGTCCACTCCAGCTCTCAACTCTCTATGACATTTTCTCCTTGGAGTTTCAGTCACCACTAGGATTGAAAGATAGCGTCTATGACCTCCCCAGTCTTTCATGCTTCAGTAATTTTTCTCTCGTCCCCTACAAGCTCCAAAATATGCAGCCTTTTTCAGAAATTAGAAACTGACAAGTGAATGTAAATAAATGCTTTTCCCATAAAAAAAGTTATTAAAAATTTATTTATAAATAAAATTGCTATAAAAATAATTGAAAATCAATTCTTAGCATCAAATGTTAAAGTCCTTCTTAAGACATCTTTTTACCATTCTTTGGGTTATTGGCATGAAGAAAGTTTAAATACTCAGTATCTCTTTATTGATTATAAAATTTCATATGTTTAAATTACACAGACACTATTTTAAATCATCTTTTAGAAGAGAATTAGAATCAGAGCTTCTTTCAGCACAATTGCATATCATAATAAAAGCATGATTTTAACTCTTAAAGACCGAAAAAAAAAACCTAAAAGTCCCAAATTACCTACATTATTAAGAATTTTCAAAAAGAAGATCTGGCTGTCATTTAGTATATATATTTATTCTAATGACATCAAACTTCTTTACAGTATAAGAAGAAACTATTCCTATTAGTTGCAAGAGAGACTAAAATACAATAAAATGAGGTAAAAATTGTATATGAGTTCTTACCTTGTAATGAAAACAGCAGTATATGAAGCAAAAATGTACTCCAAGGTATCATTAAATTGAGTTTTCTCACAATGTTCATTTCAGTGTAGACTTTCTCCCTGAAATGTAACCAAATTGTTGGTCTTTACTATGATGGCATCTTAGAAGGATGGGTATTTGTAGAGTACTCAAATTCTTATAAATATAACTTTGTAATAAAGTAATTCATAAAGGAATTCCCGTCTTTCTAACTACATACAGCATCTGAAGCTTTAGAACTTGCAGGCAACCCTTTGGCTGAGTCTCTCATTAGTAATGCATGGCAGCTTCTTACCTGAGCCCGTATTAGTTACGCCCTATCCTGCTCCTGCACATCATAAGCCTTTTCAGCCTGTATTAGCCTTTTATAAATTCTAAAGACAACAGTATCAAAACATAAAAACTCTGTTATCTACTGATGTCATAAGAGATCATCATTATTCTTGATTGTTCATCTCTTCTCTATGCTTTATTCAAAAAATAATTACTCTCCTTTGAAAAGCCTGAAGTAAAATCCTATCAATAGTTCCTAGAATGTCTAGATGTTCTCATACATTTTGCTTTAAGAATGAAAAGTAAATTAAATTATGTGCATATATTTTCAACTCAAGTCCCATTACAGTGTTGTTTAAGTTGATCTATTCACAAGCCCACAGATATTTCTCTTAAACATTCTGCAACAAAAGTAGAAAATAACACATAAAGATGATAATTGTAATATTTGACTTTAAAAAGAAAATAAAGTAAATCACCTAGCCCTGAAAACCTTCCCATCAACCCCCATTTTTCCACCCTCTATGACAAATACCTAGTTAGAAAACAAAGAAGGATTTCATATTCCCACAGTGAGAACATTCTTCTCTGGAAGCAATTGACTACCTAGACTGGCATCAGCAAATAGCTTGAATACTTCATAGAGAGAATCCAAATTCCCATAAATCAGTGAAGACATGCTCATATAATGGGTGCGTATTTCCTATAGCAGATCCCATGAGTTACCTGCACTATTATCAAACTCATTTAATAGATCGGGGCACAATATCACGGAATGTCTAACTACACAGAAACTACCTTATGAGACAAAAAAGCACACCAGCTCTTAACATCTTATACTCAGACACCTCTTCTGCAATGACTTTCCAGTTTTTTCTGTGAAGTATCCTTGACATTCTAATTATTGTATACCCAATGTCAATTACATAAACAGTTCCTTGTCTATGTCCCAAATTCAATGATCATTTTCTCTTGTTCTGTATGATTTTAATCACTTTCCAGTGCCTACATGATCACTAATTCCACAAGCCAAGAAGATATTTACCTGTAAATTCATTTTTTTAAACATGAAGACCCACACAAACTTTACTAAAATTATAAGTAGCTATGAGCCTATCACACACATACACACATGTGCACACACACACATATACATGCTTGCACATGTACACTCATTTTAAAATTGTGATAGATAAGTTTAAATAATTTAGGAAAAACATGTGTTTAATAAATATTTATTGAAAAGTTATTAGTCATGACAAAGTAATTACACAATCACTCTTTAATTGATTAGATAATAAATTAACATAATTCTAAACAGATAGGCATAGTTATCTATGTTACATCCTAAATATTGTCAAAAAAAAAATATATATATATATACTCGACCACAATCAAAACTATAAAATATTCTAGATACTTTCGACGATGTGACTACAGAATAAATTAAAAAGTTAAGCTTGAAATTTGTTTAGAGAATATTAATTTTCTTCCAAAGAAATTTTAAAATTAAGGGCAGCAATTTTGCTTATGCAGAATATTCTTTGACTCCATGGAAAGGGTGAAAACGCATATAGCCAATAAACATTACTAAGTCCCCTCCTTAATTTATAATATTTTCTCTTGGTTTCATAGTTTCACATATAAGTCAACCTAAAAATTGAAGAATCTATAAATCATATTTTAGGCTTATTTTTTTCCCCAATCTAGTAACTGCTTGACTTTTTTTAACTTAAAATTTTCACAAGTGACATACATATGGAAAAATGCCAAATGGAAACCAAAGTTAAATTTCATGGTTCAAAAAAATAAACACTTTGATAATACTCATAGTTATTTCTAAATATTAAAGCCATGTGAAAAGTATTTAGTTCTAATGTAATAGATATTTATGTGCTTAATTCAAATGTAATAAATGAACTTTTCATCTCAAATTTCACACAGTATCTTTAAACTTTTTATTCAAAAGCATCACAGCCATTTTCACTGGTTATGATTGAAAATTCCAAGACTATGTCATCC